AGGAAACCGGTCCTGGTGACTCACCCTGCACTTCTGTTGGGCGCAGCCCCCACGTGCTGTCACAGAAAACAAAGTCCCCCGGAGGTTTATCTCCTCCCGGAGGAGGCGAGTCAGCAGCGAGAGGTGGCAGAGGAGGGAGGCCATGCGCTCCTTCGGGGCCCGGGTCAGCTGGGCATGGCAGACAGGGGGCCGGGGGCACCCGCTCCCAGGATGGAGGCTCTGGGGGGCCCTGCAGGGGCGAGGCCCCCACACCGTGATGCCACACTGGCCAGATCAGTCCCAGCCCCCGTTGCCCTGGGGTTGGTGGCCACGGGGGAGGTGGCGCTCCTGCAGGAATGGGGAGGGGTAGACAAGTTACAGTAGATGCTATGTGAAAATCTCCATGGTGACGCCGAGCTGGGCGTTCCGCGGGAAGCCTGGGGGGCTTGGCACATGCCCGGGTTGCAGGCTGGACCCCCAGGGTGGGGCTTCGAGGAATGGGGAGGGGTAGACAAGTTACAGCAGACAGTGGCGCGGGATTTCCGGGGCGCTATGTGAAAATCTCCATGGTGACGCTGAGCTGGGCGTTCAGCGGGAAGCCTGGGGGGCTTGGCACGTGCCCGGGTTGCAGGCTGGACCCCCAGGGTGGGGCTTGGTGGCCCCGGGAGGTGTCTAGTGCACAGCCTGCCCAGCCATCCAGGGCCCTGACGCCAGCCCCAGCTCTCCATCTGCGTGGCGGTAATTATGTCACAAGAGAGGGGTTCCCACTCTCGGCACGGGCCTCTGGGAGAACCTCTTGAAACGCTTAAGAAAATGGGACCAGCCCGGCCGGCGTGGCTCAGCGGTGGAGCATCGACCCCAGGAACCAGGAGGTTAAGGTTCGATTCCAGGAGGCAGAGGAACCTGGTGAAACGCTTAAGAAAATGGGACCAGCCCGGCCGGCCGGCGTGGCTCAGCGGTGGAGCATCGACCCCAGGAACCAGGAGGTTAAGGTTCGATTCCAGGAGGCAGCCAGTTCATGATTATCTCTCATCATTGATGTTTCTCTCTCTCTCTCTCCCTCTCCTTTCCTCTCTGAAATCAATAAAATATATATATATATTTCTTAAAAAAGGAAATTGCTGTGTTGTCCAGCTGCCTGCCTAACAGTTGAGCCTGGCAGGGTGAAGACAGCCGTAGTGGGAACACCAGGCTCCTGGAGGGAGGCCCTGGGGAGGGGCTGTGGCTGAGTGTGTGCTGGGTAAGGGCTGGTCCCCAGGACCTGGAAGCCAGGTCTGAGACCGAGAGACTTCAAGGTCAGGAGGCCCCTCTTGACGGCTCCTAGACCGTTGGGACTTGGGATTGGGCTCAGTTGCCCCTGACCACAGCCGACCACAGCCTCTCATAGAGGTTTCGGTTCCTCACAGAACCAGGCTGGAGCAGACAAGGCTGGGTGGCCGTGGGAGGGGCACGGGGGAGCCAGGCTCCTTGGAGCTGCGGGCGCTGCCATCCTCAGGCACCCCATGGCCACCCCTGGCCGGGCCTCACTTCTGCATGGAGGCAGGAGGAGCAGGAAGAGCAGGAGACAGGGTGGTGACCATGTCTGGAGCCGGTCCTTCCCCTGAAGCCGGCACGCTGCCACGTGCCACTCACTGGTGAACTCGATCACATGAGGGGCCAGCTGCTGGGGAAGCTGGGAAGTGGGGCGGCCTGCAACCAAGTCCAGATGGTGAGGCGGAGGGGGGAGGGGGCTGGTTCCCAGGCTGGTACCTGCCCTGGCACCTCTCCTTGGCCACTCTACAGTGGGGTGACTCACACCACCAAGGGCTTTACAGGTCACAACAGGGCCTCCTGGTCCTCCCTGCCCCATGCCCTGGCCCTTTATAAAGCCCAGGACACTTCCCAAGAGGCTGTGCCATTAAGAGAGAGGCCCTGAGGGACACATCCCTGTGCCCAGAGCCTTGGTGTCTGTGACATTCTCTGACCACCCACTGGTGCTTTTAAGAATCAAATGAGGCCCGGCCGGTGTGGCTCAGTGGTTGAGCACTGACTTATGAACCAGGAGGTCACGGTTCGATTCCTGGTCAGGGCACATGCCCAGGTTGCAGGATCGATCCCCAGTAGGGGGTGTGCAGGAGGCAGCCGATCCACGATTCTCTCTCATCATAGATGTTTCTATCTCCCTCTCCCTTCCTCTCTGAAATCAATAAAAATTAAACAACTTAAAATAAAAAAGAATCACATGAGGACAGGACTGTGGGAAGAATGGAAGGGGTGAAGCCTGGCAGACATGGCAGGCGCTCAACCCTGACTTGCTTTCTCCGTGTTTCTCATACTCACTCAATTCAGGCCTCCTCCCCCTGCACCCAGGATCTGCAGCCTCGTCCTCCTCACTTCTGTTGCTCCCAGTGGGCGCTGGTGTCCCCCTCGAGCAGTTCCTGGACCCTCTGGGCTGGGGTCTCTGTCCCCACAGCCTCCGCCCTGCCTATCGGCCCAGCCTCCATGCTTGGCGTGATGGGGGGGTGGGGCGCCGTGTCCTGGGCTGTGTGGCGTCCGACCTTGGCCGCCTGTGGGCCTTTCTCGGTCAGCACTTTCTTACCTGTCAAGAGGAGATAATAACGTTACCTCCACTCAGGCAGGGCCGGGAGGGAAGGCAAACAAAAGTCCCAGCGCTTGGCCAACCTAAACAGCCCTGGAAATGCTTCGTAATCAAAACGCTTTTTCCCCCTTTTGAAAGCAGAAATGGAGGGAGGATGTAGAGGGCCGAGAGAGGGCAATGCGGTCACAGCTGAGGGGGCGGGGTGCAGAGAGGACGAGGGAGAGCAGGGCCTTTCCCACAGGCACTTTGCAGGGGGCTGGGAGGTGCATCTGAGGGGACTGCTGGCTGAGGGTGAGTGGCCAAGTCTACCTGGTCCTGGATGATTCCCAGCCCTCCCTCCACCTGTCAATCAGCCAGTGGGGACACGCCCAGCACACTGTGGGGAATGAGACCCTCCAGGGGACCCTGCCGCACCTTCAGACACAGAGAAGGAAGGAGACCGTGGCAGGTAAACGTCTCCCTCCCAGGGCTCCGCCCCTGAGGGAATCCTTCTTTCTTTCTTTTTTAAAAAAATATTTTTTATTGATTTCAGAGACAGGAAGGGAGAGGAAGGGAGAAATAGAAACATCCACGATGAGAGAGAATCATGGATCGGCTGCCTCCTGCACACCCCATACTGGGGATGGAGCCCGCAACCCCAGGGCATGTGCCCTGACTGGGGATCCAACTCTGACCTCCTGGTTCCTGGGTCGATGCTCAACCACTGAGCCACACCAGCCGGGCAGGGGATCTTCCTTGATTGACAGTTTCACACAAATAGGACCGCATCCCTCCACACCCCGCTCGGCACTCCTGGGAGCCCCTCCTCTGTTCTCTGCAAGCTGGTGGCCCTGCCACCAGGCTGGGAGGGATCGAGCCGATGGAAAGGACAGGACGGGCTGGGAAATCTGGAAGGCGGATGTCGGTTGAGACCGAGGCTTTCCTCAGGGTTCACGATGGCAGCGTGTCGGAGGAGGCACCGCCAGGACAACGCTGCCGGCCAAGCCCAGGAGACGGCCCTTCATGGGGACTGTGGGCGCCTTCCTTTGCTATTCGCTCGGGTCCTGCTGAAGGTGCTCCACGCAGGGCGGGGGCCTCAGGGGGCTCCCCTCTGAGACTCCCAGGCCTCTGCAGGGGCAGGAACCCTCCCCTCGCCTTCAGTGCCTCCTGATTTCCCGCCTGCCGCCCCAGGGCTGAGCGGGGTTGGGCGAGGCGCGGTGGGACGCACCACTCCTGGGATTTGGCCCCGAGGCCCAGACAGGCCTGGGTGCCGTCCGCCGCCCAGCTCTGCCCGCTGTGGAGGCCACGTCTGCTAATGAGCCAGTTGCCAAGGAGCAGCTCCCAGCAGCTGCCCCGGCCCGGCCAGGTGTGTATGGCCCGGGGCGGGCAGACAGCTGGGCAGGCCGAGCGCCACTTGTAAAGGGTAATAACCCGGTGCGGCAGCATAATCGCCCCTTCCCGGCAGGCAGACGTGATCTCATTAGCGATCACACAGGAAGGAGGTCAGGGGAGGTCTCCCTGCTCCCTCGGGTGGGGGAGGCGCTCAAAGCCAGGGAGGGGCCGCCATCTACTCCAGGTACAGATGGGACCAAACTCTGAGTGTGGAGGGGTAGGCACAGAGACTGGGCATCTTGGCAGAGAAGATGGACTCGTGGGCAGTGCTCCCTGGGCTGGGAGGCCCGTGCCTGGCTCCTCCCAGGCCACGCTTACGTCCATCCACATGCTGGAGCTCAGACTATCTCCCCTCCTACGGGGGCCAGATGAGCCCCCCTCTGCTGGGAAGAGCTCTGGTCCAGGCCCTCCTGTCCCCCCCTCTCTTCTCTCTGAGCTCCTGTCCTTCTGTCACCTGCACCCCCAGGGTTGGAGGAAAGAGCTCCCACCGCCTGATAGCACAGGGGAGGCCTCTGAGCTGCAGGTTCCATGGTTGGCCCTGGGCTAGATGGTGGCCAGTGCCTGCTGCGGGGCCCAATTCTAGTCTCCTCGCCTCTTTCATCCTTCCCAGGGGTTAGTAACCTGTTTTGGAGATCCTGGTGGGAGCTGTTCCCCAGAAAAATATCCATGCCAATAAAATGTTCTCAATATCAAGAGTCCATGGGTTCTCTGAAGTCCATCCAGGGATCTTCCATGGCTTCCCTGGTGTCCATCAGCATCATCTGGGGCTTGTCAAAAAGACAGATGTCCAGCCCGGCTGGCGTGGCTCAGTGGTTGAGCGTCGACCCATGAACCAGGAGGTCACGGTTCGATTCCCGGTCAGGGCCCATGCCTGGGTTGTGGGCTCCATCCCCAGTAGGGGGCGTGCAGGAGGCAGCCGATCCATGATTCTCTCTCATCATTGATGTTTCTATCCCTTTCTCTTTCTCCCTACTTCTCTCTCTAAAGTCAATAAAAAGTCTTTCTTTAAAAAAGTTAAAAAAAAACTACGTAAGTTTTCCCAAGGAGGAGTCTGGGAAATATCCAACCAAATCAACGTAGGGCGATGCTACTTCTTCTTCTGCCACCGATGGCGTCAAGCATTGGCTGCCTTGCGATGGGATGGGATTCCACCTGCTCTCCTCCATGATGCCTCCACTGGGGACTCTCCCAGGGGAAGGGTCATCACAGGTAGATGTTGTCACGAGGCCCCTGGCTTTCCCTCCCAGGCTAGGGCGGCTGTGTGGGTTTTCATCGCCATGCCTCTGTGTTAGCTGGTTTGAATTGGGAATGCTAATCTGATTGACTAGGTAACTTCTACTCTAATTACAGTGGTAGGGTTTGTTCTCAATCTATAACCACTTCATCTTCTGTCTCATTAATTGTGCAAAGGTCCTTATGAATATGCAGGTCGGGAAGAGAACAAGAGATGATCTGACCTCGGAGAAACGCAGATCAAGTAGGCATGCACGTCCCCAGCCTCCCGGGTCTTCTTCTCATGCAGATGCAAACATCTGTACGGCCCCAAATCAGGCTGGAGCCAGCTCGGATACAGCCTCTGATGAACAACAGAGGTTTAATAAATCGCCGTGTGAGCTGCTTGCTGCCAATTTTCATGTCAATCAAAAAGTGGCTGTCAACCCAGCCAGAAACAGCCCACTGATGAAAAATTCTCAACAAGATCCATCATGGAAAAGAAAGGTTAAATGTCGCCTGGCTTGACTTGTACGAAAAACACTCGTTTTTTCGGGCAAATGGCCTTCTGAATACAGCTCACTTCTTTCCTTTTAGAAATATTGGTGAGCCCGGCCGGTGTGGCTCAGTGGTTGAGCGTTGACCTGTGAGCCAGGAGGTCACGGTTGGATTCCCGGTCAGGGCACATGCCCGGGTTGTGGGCTCCATCCCCAGTCAGATTTCTAAAGGCTATCTGTCTTGAAGAAGGCTCAGCTTCGTCATCCTCCAAGGGGAAGCCATGGACACTCTTACTTGGCCCAGTGAGTATTTAAGGGAATGTCCTGAAGGGGGCAGTTGGCCACCGAAGCACCCACTGTCCGGCTCAGCGATTTCATGCCCGGCGCCCAGGCTGTGGGAGCTGGTGGGAAGAGGTCACGGCTGGGGGAGGGACTGTTTTCCTGGCCAGGGCCGGGCGTGAGTTTTGGCTGCTAGCCTCTGACATCAGTTACTCATCTTTTCCATGCCAAGAGCCGGCGAGGAAGGGCATGCGTGATGAAGATGGCTGGGAGGGGGGGTCTTCCTCCAGTTGCCTTTTTCAGAAGCAGAAGAGGGGGATACGTGGTTATTGTTCCTTTTTTGTTGTTGTTGTTCACCCTCACTGGAGGATATTTTTCCATTGATTTTTAGAGAGAGTGGAAAGGAGGGGGAGAGACAGAGAGAGAGAGAGAAACTTCGATGTGAGAGAGATACATCGATTGGTTGCCTTCCGCACACACTGACCAGGGCCGGGGATCGAGCCTACAACTGTGGTATGATCCCTTGACCAGAATCAAACTCCGGACCCTTCAGTCGGGCCGATGCTCTAGCCACTGAGCCAAATGGGCCAGGGCGGCTGTTACTGCTTTTGATCTTTACATGTAGAGCAAATGACAGCAGGATCATTTGAATAGTTAATCAGCAGTTTTCACATTCCTTTTTGTAGTCAGGCTCCAGTGAGAGAACTCCTGGCAAAAAAAGATTGACTCCATGGATGCTTGGGTGATGGGAAAAAATAGTGACACAGATTTTCCACTGCAAGTCACAGATATGATCTAGCATTAGTCCAGGGAGATGCTTGGGAGCCGTGATAGTCAAGGGGGGCAAGACAAAAGGTGGCACGTGTCCACAAATGAGAAGTGTGTGTGTGGGGGGGAACGATGCTGAGTTCGGCAACAAAGATCAGGTGCCACCTCAAAGCCATGGCACCAGGGAGGGGGCCTCTCCTCCGAATGCTAAGTTAGGGGTTAAATTGTTCTTGTGAATCTTAATCAGCGATCTGGACCAACAGCTCCCGGGGGAGGCGGCATTCCCAGGGACTAGCCGAGTGTTTCACGAGCGTCTGGTGCCAGGCCCCCTCCTGCGACAGACACTGGGCCACCTCTCCCGCTGCCTTGGGTGACCCGTCCGAAGGCGACCTCTGAGGGGTGGGTTTGGAACCTTCTCTAAGACAGGAGGGTGAGCCCCGGCTGGTTGTTCAGTGGTTAGAGCGCCGGCCCTCGGGCTAGAGTCTCGGGTTCGATTTCCAGTCAAGGGCACGTATACTTGGGTTGCAGGTTCGATCCCCGGACCTGGTCGGGGCGTGTGCGGGAGGCAACCAGTTGATGTCTCTCTCTCTCTCTCACATCGATGTTTCTCTCTCTCTGTCTCTCCCCCTTCTCCCTCCCTTCTACTCTCTAAAGATCAATAGAAAAAATATCCTGGGATGAGGATTCAAAAAAAAAAAGAAGACAGGAGGTGCGGGAAGGAAGCAGAGCAGTGGCCACTGTACACCGCAGCCTGTACACAAACACACCCAGACACCCGGGAAAGGGCAGGCACGCCCAGGGATGCACTTCTGTGTCTGGCTGGACAACGCCCGTCCCCACGCTGGCCTCTGGGGAGTGAACAAAGGGCTTGGAGGTGGGGAAGGAGTGAAGTGTCACTCAATGCCACTTTGTCTTGGAAAAGAGGCCATGCATTTCCTGCTCCAAAAATGAATGTACTGATTATTATAAATACTTAAATGAACTTCACTAATGCACACAGCCCAACTCTAAACAAGAGACCCTTAGAACTTAGGGCATTAAACCTCATCCACCCTCTCTGGTCCCCAGCGTGACTCCCTCTCCCCCGACCCCCCTCCACACCCACAGTAGTGACAGCTCCCTCCCTTCCTGGGTTGGTTGTGCAGAGAGAAGGTGTCTCAGAGGACTCAGCCCGGAACTGTTCCTTTTCCTCAAGTCCTCACACCCCACCTTTTCCCTGGTGGTCAGCCGGAGGCAGCCGCACCCTCATTGCTTTCAGGAGAAGGAAAGTTCGAGAGAGAATAAAAAAACAAGAAACAGGCAATGTGCTTTAAAAAAAAATCCATGATGGCCCGGCCAGTGTGGGTCAGTGGTTGAGCATCAACCCATGAACCAGGAGGTCACGGTTTGATTCCTGGTCAAGGGCACATGCCCAGGTTGCGGGCTCGATCCCCAGTGGGAGGCCTGCAGGAAGCAGCCGATCCATGATTCTCTCTCACCATCGATGTTTCTCTCTCTCTCTCCCCCTCTCCCTTCCTCTCTGAAATTAATTTAAAAAATTTATGTTTTAAAAATGTATCGCTGAGACTCTGTGCAAGGGATGGAAAACCTCACTTCAAACAGACCTAGGCCAAAAAAAAAAAAATCATTTCCCTCATACATTTCTGTGTGGTGGGAATCTTTTATAGATGAGAAAATTGAGGCAGAATGTGGTTGGAACGCTTGCCCAGGCTCACAGGGCCGGTGACGGAGCTGGGAGGGAACCAGACGGCTTGGCACTCTCACCTGGGGCCAGCGGCGGTGACACCCCTGGGAGCTTGTTAAAAATGCAGAGCCTCAGGCCCCCCCCCCACCCCCCGGCTCCTGCTCAGGTTCCCCTTCGACTTCTAACAAGGTCCCAGGTGACTCACCATCTTGCTCTGGTTTGAGACGGGAGCCCCGGAGAACTGCTGATGTTCTATCTGGGTTTCTTGGTCCGTGCAGCTGACGTGCGGGAGCAAGGCTGGCTGGAGCCCTTTTGTTTCCTGATGTATATCTAGCACCTAGAACAGGGACGGGAGTCTAGTGTTTACTGAGTGAATGAATGGATGGACAAATGAATGAATGGACGAATGAATGAATGAATCTGGGTCCCTCTGATTTAGGTTCCAGGCTCAGAGCTGCCTTGTTGGAAGGTGGGAAGGGAGCGAAAGGTGCCTCTGGCCTGGGGATTACCCATGGTTTGGGATTATTCACTTCCCTCCTTAGTAGAAGTAACTAGCAGTGGCCCAGTGTTGGCTCACATCATAAAAACGCCTGAAATAGCCCGGCCGGTGTGGCTCAGTGGTTGAGCGTCAACCTATGAACCAGGAGGTCACAGTTCAATCCCTGTTCAAGGCACAAGCCTGGGTTGTGGGCTCCATCCCCAGTGAGGGGCATGCAGGAGGCAGCCGATCCATGATTCTCTCATCATTGATGTTTCTCTCTCTCTCTCTCTCCCTCTCCCTTCCTCTCTGAAATCAGTAAAAATATTTTAAAAAAACAACAGAAATGACTGAAATCTCCCAGGAAACAGCCTCTCTCCGGGGCCACGTTCCTCTTGTCCTCCCCTTTGTGTGTCAAACCTTCCTCACCTTGAGCCCTGGCTCTTTTTCTGCCCCTCACATGTCAGCCGCAGGGCACACACCTGGGGGGATTTCAGCCCGTTTTCCCAGCCTCTGTGGAGGTTTTATTTCTGTTCCGTGAAAAACCCTCAAAGGCGCCTCTCTGAGCTTTGACGGAGGCGTGGAGCATTGGGAACATTTAACGGGAATTGTTATGTGTGTTTTTGAGGAGGAATTATTCTCAGCCTGGTCTGGGTCTGGGACTGGCCCGAAGGAGACAGCCAGACACCCAGGTAGAAAGAGCTCCCCGCTGCTGCTCTGGGGAAAATCAAAGCGAAACCGGCCGCCCGCGCCCCCCACACGCCTGGCCTGACCCCGCCTTTCATGTGCAGTGGCCACGGGAGGAGAGGAGGCCCAGAACCAGCACAAACCCCCAAAGCAAAGGCTTCACATGAAACCGTTTCATGAGGACAATGCTCGCTCTTCTTTCAACTCGCCCTGAGAACAAACGGACGTCCTTTTTCGGGGGAGAGACTGGACTCGGGCTTTCATCCTCCGCGGCCTTTATTTTGGGTGCCTCTCCCCGGTACCTCCTCTCTTCATTTCAGATCTCACAGGCCGGGGGAGGACAGAAGTCGCCCACCCGCCCCAGGGGGGGAGCTATGGCCTGGGTGTGGGGACACTTGATCTTGGGGGTTTGGGGGATAAAGAAGGGTCTGCTTTTATCCGGGCAGCATGGGATAAGGTAAATCCAGAAAAATGGTTATGTCAGATGAAAACATTTTCCTTCCCTTCCCTTTTTTCAAAAAAGTAGCAAAAGCTCATTTCTGAAGTGACGTCTCATTCGGAGTTCTAATATATAAAACAGACAGGAACCGAGCCACCTGGTGGCAGTTGGGGTGCACGGATGGGGTTGGGGTGAGGGGCAGGGAGCCCGCCTGATTCCTCCTCTCGCCCCTCCATGGTGCCCCAGGGTTCCGGGAACCCCAGTTTGAGCATCATTTCGAAGGCCTACACCTCTCTAGACCTCATTCCGAAGCGGTGAATGGAGCTGTCAGCAGGAAGCCCGGCCCTCCAGGTGCCAAGGAGCCTGGTACAGGCCCCTGCAGACACCTGGGGCAGCATCACAGAGGGTGCTCCTAGGGGAGACAAAAGCTCAGCAAGCCAGGCCGACCTGCAGACCCGGGAAGGGTGGGTGCAGGCCTAGGGAGCGTGGGTGCAGGCCTGGGGAGGGAGGTGCAGGCCTGCAGAGGCCCCCTGGCAGCTGGGTTTTCAGTTCTCTGCATCCCTGCCACCCAGCTCCTCCCTGCTGCTCCCTCCCCCCCACACCCCCTGCAGCCTGACAGACACTCACACAGAGATGGCTGCTGTCTCAATGCCCCTCCCCCGTGCACACTAGGCCCCAGGCTGGCACACCCCGCAATTAGGGCTGCTGTTTCCCTGGCTCTCCAGCGCGCCTGCCTCGCCTCCCCGCTCTCCCAGGCTAATTGCTGGGTTCGCCCTTCACCGTTTCCCGTTCTCGCAGGAACATGAAGGCCCGGCCCCCTCAGCCCCGCGCTGGCTGCTTTAGGAGCTGCAGAGGAAAGGAAGAAAGAAAGAAACCAAGATGGTTTCGGCAAAGCACTTCTCTGAGCCTGGGAGAAGGGATCATTTGTGGGCCGGCCACCCACACTTACTTTAGGACCCGGGATTTTGTTAAAATGCAGACTCTGTGCCCTAGCTGGTGTGGTTCAGTGATAGAGCGTGAGCCCTTGGACTGAAGGGTCCTGAGTTCAATTCTGGTCAAGGGCACGTACCTCGGTTACAGGCTCAATCCCCAGCCCTGGTCTGGGAGCGTGCAGGAGGCAACTAATCGATGTGTCTCTCTCACATGATGTTTCTCTCTGTCTCTCCCCCTCCCTTCCACTCTCTCTAAAAATCAATGGAAAAATATCCTCGGGGGAGGATTAACAACAACAAAAAGTAACAATAAGAGTACAGCCTCTGGTCCACGGGCCCAGGGTGGGGGTCTGACCGGCTGCTGGTGACGGTCTGCGGGCCTCAGTGTGAGGATGAGGGGCGTGGGAAGAGCACGTGGACGTTGGGAAGCCAGGACTTGCTGGTCAACTTGGAGCAGGGCCTTCCTGGCTGTGGTGAGGACGGGAAAGGGGGTGGGCGTGATTCTACGCCAGGAAGCTGCCGCCAGGAGGCTCCGAGGAGCGATGGGGACCCTGGATCCTCGCTTCCCAACCTGCTGAGACAGGGTCCCTCTCTCTGAGAGAAGGTTCCTCTCGGTTCATTCAGAAATACTGACCGAGTGCCTATGGCCTGCCAGGCTCGGTGTAGGCCAGTGATGGCAAACCTATGACACGCGTGGTTGATTTTTCTTTGTTAAATGGCATTTAAATATATAAAATAAATATCAAAAATATAAGTCTTTGTTTTACTATGGTTGCAAAGATCAAAAAATTTCTATATGTGACACGGCACCAGAGTTAAGTTAGGGTTTTTCAAAATGCTGACACGCCGAGCTCAAAAGGTTCGCCATCACTGCCCCAGATATCGAGTAAACAGAACAGACCTGGTCACTCCCTCATGGAGCTTCCTTTCTACTGGGGGTGCGGTGGGAAGAGACGCAAAGGAAGACAAATCAGTAAAACCCAGAGTGCAGTTCTGGCAATAAATGCTGTGGAGAAAGACAAAGCAGGAGAGGTAGGCAGCGAATCCAGACAGGTGAGGAGGGGTGTGATTTTATTTAAAAAAATTATTTTTTTATTGATTTCAGAGAGGAAGGGAGAGAGAGAGAGAGAGAAACATCAGTGATGAGAGAGAATCATGGATGGGCTGCCTCCTGCACGCTCCCTACTCGGAATTGAGCCTGCAACCCGGGCATGTGCTCTGACCAGGAATCGAACCATGACCTCCAGGTTCAGAGGGCGATGCTCAATCACTGAGCCACGACGGCCGGGCAAGGGGGTGTGACTTTGAACACAGTGGCCCTGAGCCTATCTATCCGAGGGCTCCAGGGGGACTTTGAGAAGATGGCATATTTATGATCCACATAGAAACTCTTTATTAAAAAAGGGAAAGAGGTCATTTCTGAATGTATGAACCCCTCTGTGACGGGTCTTGCTCTTCCCTTGCTCGGCCCCTGGGAGCTGCACGGTGCCGCCATGGGGCACAGCGGGGGCAGTGGCAGTGGCAGACAGGAGACACACTCTGGGCTGGGAGCTCCGAACCAGCTGTGTCAGTCAGTGCGCCCACAGGGATCTGCCGTGGCCTAGCCCCTTGGCAACGGGGTACCTTCCTGGCCCCCCGCCCTGTTCTAGGGAAGGAAGATGGAGGTTGTTACAGGTCACAGACTCCATCCTGACCCCTCCAGAGAAAGTGACAACTCGCGGCTGTCGGCCCCCACAGCTTTACGGGGTCCCTGCCGTGGGAAGAGTTACCAGAAGCCCCCCCAAGCCTGGCAGGGGGCACTAGCAGGTTCTGCTCGGCAGGGACAGGTGTATTGAGCCACGGTTGTTCTCATTTTCCAAATTTTCCATTTCAACTGGCGTCCCGGGGGTTAAAGCTGCCCTTCACCTGGCAAAGGGGCCAGGCTGGTCTCCCCCTCCTTGCCAGGGCCTGCCCTGTGGGTGGCCTCTCGGTCTAACCCAGACAGAGGTGGGGGCGGAGGGAGAGAAACCGAGCCAGGAAGCGGCAGAAATAGCTTTCAGGGGGCGGAGGGCGTGGTGCCGCTGAAGGCCGCACACCCACGCTGGGCTGGGCGTTGCTGCTCCGTCCTCCCAGGCCAAGGGGATTTCTCAGACGCGGGCGCTTTCTTTCCCCAGGAGCCTGGGCGCAGGGAGGTCCCCACCCCATCTCAGCCTGTTTCCTTTCACTGTTCTCCACCTCACCGCTTGGGAGGGGACGGCAGCGTCCTGCTGGGGTGCCGCCTGAGAAGGTGGAATTGACCAGAAGGTTCTATTATTAGCCCATGTGGTGGCTTAGGGGAAAGAGAGAAGGACCCCAGAGAGCCGGGCGGGGTCCCCCTTGCCACGCACACTGTCCTGAGCAGGGTGATACCCACCTAGCTGGGCCCTGAGGATGAATCCAGGGCCCCCCATGGAGGTCCCTCCTCCTCATGTCTGGGAGATCACAGGCCCCTCCCTAACCTTTCCCAGGAGGGTGACCCCGCCTCAGTGTGTCCCCCTGCTTGACCCAGACCACGGGAGGGCTGGCAACCATCTCCCTAGCACTGGCTGGAGGGCTGGCACCTAGCGGGCACTCACTACCCGCCCGGGGAGCTGCTGTTTGGGGTCAAATCGGTTCTAGGGGTTCAGTGTGGGGTACAGGGTAGGTTGTTGGAGAAAACTCTGATCCTGCCTTTTGTTGTTGTTAATCTTCACCCAAGGATATTTTTCCATTGATTTTTTTAGGGAGAGTGGAAGAGAGAGGGAGAGACAGAGAGAAACATCGATGTAAGAGAAACACATCAATGGGTTGCCTCCTGCATGAGCCCCTACCCGGGCCTGGGCCGGGAGGAGCCTGCAACCAAGATACGTGCCCTTGACCCGAATTGAACCCGGGACCCTTTAATCTGTAGGCAGATGCTCTCTCCACTAAGTCAAACCTGCTAAGGCCAGTCCTGCCTTTTGATGCCGCATTAACCTGGTCCCCGGGCTCCCTCGGGTGGGACAACTGCCTTCTCGCCCATGTCTTGTCACCGGCTGCCACAGCCTCAATATCCTTATCCGACAAGTCGGGAAAGGCTGAGTCATACCTGTGTAGGGAGGCCGCTGAGGAAAGTGGCCCTTCCGGTCCATAGCATCGCCCAATGACACGGATTCGGAGCCACTGAGCCCACAGGGAGGTGACTTGCCCAAGGTCGCGTAGCCAGCGGGGAGCTGGTCACACTCCAGCAAGCCTGCAGGAAATAGAGGGGACGGAGCGGCATTGGTTTCCAGCCTCCCTCCAGGGGGAGTGGGCTGAAGTCGACCGCACCGCCCAGAAATCAATACGCAGGAGGCTGTTAAAAACCACCTCCCCATCGAGCCTGCCGCTGGCCAGGAGCCGAGGGATGCTCGTTCCGTGGCCTGCCCAGCCCGAGGGCACTGAGGGCTGGTCCCCACCAAGTGTGTGGGGTTCAGACAGACCAGGGGGAGGCAGGGCTGGGCCTGCAGGGTGACACACACACCTCTCAGCTCCCCACTTCGCGCTGTGCGTTGCTGGGGGGCCGCCACCTTCCCCTCGGACTTGGCTCAGGCAGAGCAAGGCCCAGGCGAGGGGCCAGACCCTCAGGCCAATTTGGCACTTGGCCTAAGCTACAAAATCCCAGCTCCCGCGGGCAGAGAGGGCGCTGCTAAAGCATTCCGGGCCTCATGGGGGCAGGGGAGCCACTGCCTCCACCCCGCCCTGCCATCCATCCGAGGCCCCATGGTGGGTGCCGGTGACTCAGGAAGTTCTGGTTTCTGTGAGATTCTTGAGACTCAGGCGACCTGATCCTGAAACAATGACAAGCCTTGGAACAAGGCTCCCCCATGGCAGGCCTGGCCCGGACGCAGCCGAACGGAAAATGATGCTGAGCGGGAAAGGTCAAGTGCCGGGCCTCCTGCAGCCCTGAGCAGGTGGCTGCTGGGCCAGAGGGCCACGTGGCATGGCCTGCGGGCACAGGTGAGCTGCGGTGACCCACAGATCAGCCTGGGCCCTCACTCTGACACGGAGCGGACGGCACCCAGCCTAGCCTGGCTGACGGGCGTGGCCCCACCACTGCCCAGGGCCCTCGGCCAGCAGCCATTTCAGGGTGTTCAAGTCAGACTTGCCCTGAGCCCCGGGCTGCCCCCAGATACAGATGCAGGAAAGGGAAGTGGAACCCAGGTGGCAGGAGGGAAGGCAGACCCCAGTCCCCGCACTGGGCGAGATGACGTTCCTCACTTAAGGAGCCACACTTATAAAGCCAGCACTAGCAGAGCCCTTCTTCTGCCAGGAAGTGCATTTGCTGTTACTCTTTGCATGAGCTCTGCCGTGTGAGTACCACTGGCCCCATTTTACAGGTCAGGAAACTGAGGCTTCCATGATCGTGTGGAGAGCAGGCTGCGATGCCCATCCACCTCTCCTGCCACCTGGGGAAGTTGCTCCCGCCCCTGCGGGCACAGCCCAGAAATAACAGGGGAGTTTGTGCCCCCAGGGGCCTCGCAGCCCCCAGGCATGGGAGCCTGGGGGTACATCCTCACTGGAAGCCTGGCTCCCTCATCTCTCCAGGGCCCAGCCGCTTGAGCCCATCGCTGGCAGCGGGAACCCCATGTCAGCCCTATTCATGGCCTTCCTCCCTCCCCATCTTCCTTCTCCACCCCTACCCTGTGCTTCCCGGAGTCACCTCACAAACAGATTACCCACAACCAAACCCTCGTCGTAGGGTCTGCTCTGGGGATGCCCACAGGAAGACAGAGAGAGGAATGGCACCCTCGGCAGGATGGTGGTGGTGGTGGTGATGGTGGTGGTGGTGATGGTGATGGTGGTGGTGGTGGTGGTGATGCTCAGACCACCAGGGTCCAATTCAGAGTCCGACAAGAACGAGGGAAGCCCCCGAAATGCACACGGACGACCTTCCACCTGCCGAAGGGGGCGCAGACGTGCGTGGAACTGCCGTGTTCAGGATGCTGTGGGCTCAGTAACCGGAAGTCCCGCTGAGAGTGGTCTAGGCTGGTGCCACGGGAGTCCCGGTGAGGGGCTGCAGGTGGGTTTGCCCGCGGCTCCTGCTCTGGCCCCTGTGGCTCCTCCGAGTGGCCCCCTCCCCCCGGGAGTGTAGCCGATGGTTATGACAGCTCTGGCCACACATCCACGCCAGACACTGTCCAGAGAGCATCGCTCCTGGGGGCTCATCCGGGGCCCTCGGCCAAGAGAGAGGACCGGGTGACCGTGAAGACAGCCTGGGTGCTTGCGATGGAAGGCACGAGAACTTCTTCCTCCACTCGAGTATCCCCGGGCTGAGGTTCCCATCAGCCTCCACCGGCTGCGAGCAAAGGCCAGGCGGTGACAAAAGCCATGGGCAGGCAGCAAAGTCACCCTCAGGGAAAAGCTCAGAAACAGCCGATCCTCTCACGACCTTTCTGGGGACGGGAACCACGGGCTGCGGTTTCACTGTGTGTCAACAGAACCAAGCCGTGTTACATGAGTAAACAGGCTAATTGGAGGAGCGGGTTTGAGCGGAAGCGTGTTCCGGGGCCTTCTCCAACGAGCTGGGTGTCCTGCGGTGTCCTGCCCACGGTGCCGCGGGCTCCTGGCTTTGGCCTGGCAGCTCGCATGTGTCCTTGGACGGCTGAGCTGGGGGCCAGGGCGGGAGCAGCCATTCAGGCTGGTGTGCAGGGTGCACAGGCTGCGCTGTCCTGGACACGCCCTTGCCTCCCCCTCGGGGAGGGTCCCGATGGCACAGGATACATTTCTCTCCCTTCCTCCATCCCAGCCAAGACTTTCAGGCCTCGGCTCCCCCTTTAAATAGTTTCCAGCTCCCTGTCCTCCCAGATTGAAAAATGCTTGGAAATGTGGGAGCCACTCAACCCTGGAGTCCTACGTCGCCACCTCCTCCTCCGTGCAGGGAACGCGTG